TATTTATTGTGATTTGTGTTCATCGTAATCAACGTTATCTTAATAAAGGTCATGGTTTTATTAAAAAAACATTTTTACTAATTGTAAAAAAAAATAACATTTATAACATAAAAGTTATGCTAATTATAAAAATTGGGTAAAGTTATTAGTTAGGCATCAATCGTACCTCGTCATTGAATAATTCACTATAATGGTTATGTTTTATATGAATTCAATGATAAATCGTTGCAAATAGACATACAGTAACAAAAAAAAAATAATTTCTCAAACAATGGATTTACCCTATGTTAAACAAGTAAATATTGATACATTTGAAACACTATTACTATAATTATTTTTATAGATTTTTATGGAATAATATTRAATGCTGTATTAAAATAGTATTAATTAACTATTTCAGTTGTAAAATATGGGTTGATCAGAGTAAAAATCAAAGTATCATAAATAACTATTTCAATTATGGCTTTCAAAAAATAAAATGTTCTACAATTTGTTCCAAYCATTTTACAGAAAATTATTATTGTATTTGGACAGATAAAAAAAGGTAAAACGAAATAAAATGGAAATGGTATTATAAAATAGTTCTCAACAATAATAATTATAATATATATATGTATAWTATACAACATTTATTCAAAAATATTAAAAATCCTGTATAAATGGTCTGTTCCTGGAAAAATGTCTTTGAAAGAACTGGAAATATCGTCTGCATCTAATGATTCTAATGTGTATTGTGAAAATAATGTTTCAATCCCAACAGTAGATAAAGTACCAGGATGGAGTCCAATAAAACCAGGATTGAATACAACTTACAAGTAATATATTCAATTACAGGAACAATTCTACATATTATATTAATTGTACTGTTAAATTTAAATAGGGGTAAATGAAAATATTGATGTACAGACTCAGGAGCTTGCATTAATAGAGTATAAAGATAACCATATTTTAATCCCAACAGTAGATAAACTGCCAGGATGGAGTCCAAAAATGGCAAGCTGTAAATCTGGTAACATATTATACATATTAATTATTATAATATATTATGAGTTGTCATTGAAAAATAATTTTTATGTTATTATAGAAAGCAATATGTGTAGAATTCCAGCACATAAACCTAGATCTTTAAACTTTGGACAACCACAAACTGATTTTGATAGTTTTCTTTCTTGTAAGTATATTTGGATTATCACACTAAATAAAATAAAACAAATCTTAAAAAATCAATATTAAAATTAATGTATGGTTTTAAGTAATTCATTAAAAAACACTGGTCACAATTTAAATGAGTGTACAAATAAAATTAATAAATTCAAAAAATAAGATATTATCAGAAATCTATACATGCAAAAAATAAACAAATATGTGAACTGAAGAAACAATTGATAAACAAACAAAAATACCAAGTAATATTCAACAAAACACAAATAAGACTGATGAATATGAAAAAAAGCATGGCGATTTAAAGAAGAAGAAAAAAGTTTTGCACTTAGTCTTTATTATAAGTCCCCTAAAGGATATTTATTTATGAGAAAATACCTATGCTTACCAACAATAAGATCACTAAGACGATGGCTTCATTGTTTAAATTTTTCTTGTGGTATTAATGATAATATTTTAGAAATAATAAAGAATAAATTTACATTGTCAACTCTATCGGAGAAAGCAGTTTCAATCATTTTTGATGAGATGTCAATTAAAAGATTTGTAACATATAATTCACAAAATGACGTATTTTCTGGGTTTGAAGACTTTGGAGCTATAATAGAAACAAAAAATAATTTATTATGTGATCAAGCACTTGTTATAATGGTTAAAGGAATCAAACAACCTTGGAAACAAGTGGTTGGCTATTTTTTTTCAAAAGGTCCAATCTCTGGTTTGAAATTGAAAACTATTATTATGACCACAATAAAAAAACTTAAATCTATAGACTTAATACCCAAAGTAATAATTTGTGATCAGGGCACAAATAATCAAAAACTGAGAAATCTATTAAAAATAACAATTGATGAATCATTCTTGACATTTGAAGATGAAAAAATATATTTTATGTATGACACGCCTTACTTAATTAAATCTGTATGGAAAAATTWAAAAAAATATGATTTTATATACAAAAATGAAGTATATTCATGATCAGATATAATACAATTTTATAATATTGATAAAAATAAAGTTCCACGGTTAGCACCAAAGCTTAAAGATCAGCACATACAATTACCACCTTTTTCACCAATGAGAGTGTGCCTAGCTACTCAAACTTTCAGTCATACTGTAAGTTCAGCTATGTTTACACTAATTGCAAATAATTTAATGAACTCAAAAGCTTTACATACTGCAAAATTTGTGAAGATAATAGATGACTTRTTTGATGTGTTCAATAGTTGTACATTCAATGAACCAAAAATATTTTGAAAACCATTGACTAACAATTTGAAGTATTGGATCTTTTTAAATGAGTCTTATGAAATTTTAACAAAATTAGAAATTCAAAATGCCAAAAAAAAACAGCCATCGTGTATAAGTGGTTGGCTTTCATATATTAATAGTTTGAAAATGCTGTTTAAGGATTTACAAAATAATTTTGAATTTGAATATTTGCTTACTAGACGACTGACCCAAGATTGTGTGGAAAGTTTATTTTCTGTACTACAAGCAAAAGGTGGAAATAATGTAGTGCCAGATTCGTC